TCCACATGCGAGTTTTTCCAAATACGAGCAGTCGATGGGTTGATTTTTTGCTTCCATATGCGAGGAAAATTTCTATAAGCAAGCAGACCTCAAGGTGATGCTGGCGAGGGGCTCTTGCTCTTGAATCTAGGGAATTGTATAATTTGTTTGTAGGACTATCTTATTGAAACTTGGGCAATGTATGATGGAAAGATGCTTCTTAACGTACACCAAAAATGAAAGAAATCGGAGCACAAATAATGGGGTTCACTTCTCAGCAATTAGCCACCCCTTAGTGGTATTTTCGTGTGGTTTTTATGGTTGTATTCTCATTTTTTTTTTGGCCTCATTTGATAGAATGGAAGATATACAACAGAAATAGTATGATTTTGATTGCTTTCACGACTAAAAGTACCTTGAAATCGAGCTCAACGAGGGAGAAATGCTCGTTTGCTCGACTACGTTCAAGAGTAAACAAATGTCCATTCCAATATGCAGTAGTGAATGGGTTGACATACAATTATTGCAATAAAGCATAACAGTAAATCTTATATTTTTTTATGTGAATAAAAATTACAAATTATTTATATTGCAATAATAATAGTAGTAATAATAATAATACGTATAATAATAATAGTATAATAATATACAGTGGACCCTCGACCAACGATGGCATCGTATAACGTTAAATCCGACTACCGATACATTTTGACGCAAAAATTTTGCCTCGACTAGTGCTAAAAAACTCTACCAACGCGATTCGTTCCATTTGAGACGCGTCCATGTGTGGCCTGTGCAGTGTTTACAAGCCAGCCACCGCGGTCACATCCAAACATACAATTGGAATACAGTGGACCCCCGCATAACGATGGCATCGCATAGCGATTTTTCCGCATAACGATTACTTTTATCGCAAAATTTTTGCCGCGCATACCGATTAAAAACCCGCATACCGATTTTCGTCCGAGACGCGTCCAATGTGCCCTCAGCCAGCCTCACATGTGCCGCTCCGTCCCATTGTTTACCAGCCAGCCTCCGCGGTAACATCCAAGCATACACTCGGAATATTTCGTATTATTACAGTATTTTCGGTGCTGTTTCTGGAAAATAAGTGACCATGGGCCCCAAGAAAGCTTCTAGTGCCAACCCTACACCTCAAAGGGTAAGAATTACTATAGAGATGAAGAAAGAGATAATTGATAAGTATGAAAGTGGAGTGCGTATAGCCGACCTAGTCAAGCTGTACAAGAAACCCCAATCAACCATCGCTACTATTGTGGGCACCAGAAAGACAATCAAGGAAGCTGTTCTTGCCAAAGGTTCAACTGTGTTTTCGAAACAAAGATCGCAATTGATGGAAGATGTTGAGAGACTCTTATTGGTGTGGATAAATGAAAAACAGATAGCAGGAGATAGCGTCTCTCAAGCGATCACATGTGAAAAGGCTAGGAAGTTGCATGAGGATTTAATTAAAAAAATGCCTGCAACTAGTGATGATGTGAGTGAATTTAAGGCCAGCAAAGGTTGGTTTGAGAGATTTAAGAAGCGTAGTGGCATCCATAGTGTGATAAGGCATGGTGAGGCTGCCAGTTCGGACCACAAAGCGGCTGAAAAATATGTGCAGGAATTCAAGGAGTACATAGAAACTGAAGGACTGAAACCTGAACAAGTGTTTAATTGTGATGAAACAGGCCTGTTCTGGAAGAAAATGCCAAGCAGGACCTACATTACTCAGGAGGAAAAGGCACTCCCAGGACATAAGCCTATGAAAGACAGGCTTACTTTGTTGATGTGTGCCAATGCTACTGGTGATTGCAAAGTGAAGCCTTTATTAGTGTATCACTCTGAAACTCCCAGAGCGTTCAGGCAAAAGAATGTCCTCAAGGATAATTTGTGTGTGCTGTGGAGGGCAAACAGTAAGGCATGGGTCACTAGGGAATTTTTCTATAACTGGTTACACCATGCATTTGCCCCCAATGTGAAAAATTACCTAACTGAAAAGAAATTAGAACTTAAGTGCCTCCTGGTGTTAGACAATGCCCCTGGTCATCCTACAGACGTGGCAGAGCGACTTTATGGGGACATGAGCTTCATTAAGGTGAAGTTTTTGCCTCCTAATACCACTCCTCTCCTGCAGCCCATGGACCAGCAGGTTATTTCCAACTTCAAGAAACTGTACACAAAAGCTCTGTTTGAAAGGTGCTTGTAATGACCTCAGAAACTCAACTGACTCTAAGAGAGTTTTGGAGAGATCACTTTAATATCCTCAATTGTGTAAACCTTATAGGTAAGGCTTGGGAGGAAGTGACAAAGAGGACCTTGAACTCTGCTTGGAAGAAACTGTGGCCAGAATGTGTAGACAAAAGGGATTTTGAAGGGTTTGAGGCTAACCCTGAGAATCCTGTGCCAGTTGAGGAATCCATTGTGGCACTGGGAAAGTCCTTGGGGTTGGAGGTTAGTGGGGAGGATGTGGAAGATTTGGGGTGGAGGAGGACAATGAAGAACTAACCACTGATGAGCTGATAGATCAACTTCAAGAGCAAGAGGCCAGACCTGAGGAAACTGGTTCAGAGGAGGGGAGAGAGAAATTGAAGAAGTTGCCTACTACAAAGATAAAGGAAATCTGTGCTAAGTGGCTTGAAGTGCAAACCTTCATGGATGAAAATCACCCTCACACAGCTATTGCAAGCCGTGCTGGTGATTATTACACTGACAATGTTGTGAAACACTTTAGGCAAGTCATAAAGGAACGAGAGGTACAGGCCACTATGGACAGATATCTTGTGCGAAAGAAGTCCAGTGACTCTGAAGCTGGCCCTAGTGGCATTAAAAGAAGAAGGGAAGTAACCCCAGAAAAGGACTTACTACCTCAAGTCCTAATGGAAGGGGATTCCCCTTCTAAACACTAACACACTCTCTCCCCTCCTCCCATCCCATCAATCATCACCAGATCTTCAATAAAAGCAAGTGTCATTTAATTGTGCATGCCTTTTTCAGTTTGTGTGTATTAAAATTAACATTTCATGTGGTAAAAAAAATTTTTTTTCATACTTTTGGGCGTCTTGCACGGATTAATTTTATTTCCATTATTTCTTATGGGGAAAATTCATTCGCATAACGATTATTTCGCATAACGATGAGCCCTCTTGCACGGATTAAAATAGTTAACCGGGGGTCCACTGTATTTCATATTATCACAGCGTTTTTAGCGATTGCACCTGCAAAGTCACCATGGGCCCCAAGAAAGCTTCTAGTGCCATCCCTGTGATAAAAAGGGGTGAGAATTAGTATGGAAATTAAGAAAGATTTTGAAGGGTTTGGGGCTAGCCCTGAGATGCCTATGCCAGTTGTGGAATCCATTGTGCCTACTTCAAAGATTAAGGAAATGTGTGCAAAGTGGGTTGAACTGTAAACCTTTATGGATGAAAATCACCCCAACACAGCTATTGCAAGCCATGCTGGTAACTATTACAATGACAATGTTGTGGCCCATTTTAGATAAATCGTAAAGGAACGGGAGGTACAGAGATCTATGGACAGATATGTAGTGCGACAGAGGTCAAGTGACTCAAGCTGGTCCTAGTGGCATTAAAAGAAGGGAAGTAACCCCAGAAAAGGACTTACTACCTCAAGTCCTAATGGAAGGGGATTCCCCTTCTAAACACTAACACCATCCACACACTCCCCTCCTCCCATCCCATCAATCATCACCAGATCTTCAATAAAGGTAAGTGTCATGTAATTGTACACGTCTTCAGTTTGTGTGTATTAAAATTAATATTTCATGTGGTAAAATTTTTTTTTTCAATACTTTGGGGTGTCAGGAACGGATTAATTTGATTTCCATTATTTCTTATGGGGAAAATTAACTAACAATAATTTCGAATAACGATGAGCTCTCAGGAACGGATTAATGTTGTTGGTCGAGGGTCCACTGTAATACAATATGTATAATAATAATACATATAAAATAATAATGTACTAATACATAATAATTATAATAGATGACTTCAAAAGGCCGCCACAAGATGGCAGTGTTTACCACAACAAAGAGGGAGCAGTTGTGGCCGCCTCCAAATGTTACATAATGACAATTTATTCATTCTAGAGTATATATCAGGTTTCTATGTTATTTATATCGTTTGTTATGTCATATTAGATGAACTGTGATAGATAAATAAGCAGTAATTGATGATAGCGAAATATTCAAGGAGCATTTTGCCCTGTCTCCAGAAACTCTTGTCAGCCCCCGCCACACACACATGACATTTTATTCATTCTAGAGTATACATCAGGTTTCTATGTTATTTATATTGTTTGTTATGTCATATTAGACAAACTGTGATAGATAAAAAAGCCGTATAGATGAAATTAGCGAAATTATTAAAGTAGTATTTTGTCTGGTCTCCAGACAAACTGTCGTCCACCGCCAACACCGCCCATACCCCTACATGAATTACATTTTATTCATTTTAGAGTATACATCAGGTTTCTGTGTTATTTATATTGTTTATTATGTCATATTAGATCAAGTGAGATAGATAAACAAGCCATAAAATTTATATTAGCGAAATTATTAAGTACAGAATTCCACTGGAATGGATTAATTGCATTTCAATTAATTTAAATGAGAAAAACTGACCCTGCAAACAAGCAAATCCAGTTGCGAGCAAGGTCATGGAACGGATTAAACTCCCAAGTAGAAGTTCCACTGTACATTATTTAGGTATGCATACTGGTCAGAGCACACATTTTAAGTCCAAGTCGTTGGTAAACAAGTACGTCACTAAGTGAGGAGGCGCTGTACTACCACATCTGAAAAGCTACCAAGACCATATTTAACTAGCTTTAAAATAACTTTTGCTAACATTGATAATTTACTGAATTACAAACTAACATTTGTAGTATCCTGCAAGGTGTCTACTAAAAGCTTTAAAATGCATTTATAAAGATAACTAAGGCATGTAATGCCAAAATGTGAGACTAGTATGCATATTAGCTTCTAAGAATCTGACTCTTACCTTTGCTAATATCACAGGTGGATCATTAGTCTTCAGAGAAGAAGCTGCCTTTTCAAATTCTGGTTTCAACCGTTTACAATGGCCACACCTGTATTAAAAAAAATTAACTATAACTTTCAAAGTTAAATGTAGTACAAAATGATGTGCTGCAGGATTATTATCCCTCACCCACCAATGAAATACCTTAGGGCCAGAATTTACTTCAATGAAACAGGCGAGTTAGAAACTTCCCATTAATTAACCCTTTGAGGGTCGGTCACGTACAAGTACGTCACTGCAGCCAGGGTCGGTCACGTACTTGTACACCTAAATTCTAGCGCCTGCAAATCTGGTGGAAGAAAGCTGGCAGGCCAACATATGAAAGAATGGGTGTGTGTGGTCTGTGTGCGCAGTATAAAAAAAATCTAAGCACGCTGTGCATAATGAGAAAAAAATTACAGTTTTTGGTTTAAAACAGCGATTTTCTAGTGTATTTTCGTATGGTATTTATGGTTGTATTCTTGTTTCCTTGGTCTCATTTGATAGAATGGAAGATACATTACAGAAATAGAGATGATTTTGATTGGTTTCATGATAAGTACGTACCTTGAAATTGAGCTCAAAGTAGCGAAAATGATCGATTTTTGCCGATGTTCAAGAGTACACAAATCAAGCCAAGCGTCCAATACACGTCAACTGGCGAGTCTAATATTCTTTCACAAGTGCGCTGATATCATTTATACCATTTTTAGAATGATGCAGTAGTATATATAACAGAAAACCTATTTTCTGAGAGAATATAAATTCAAAATGGAAAGCAATGTAAGAGGGGCATAGAGATGTGACTAATGAACAGATAAAATGTTATTTTAGTGCCATGAATGTGTCTTGTTTATTCTGGACCCTATTTCAAAATTGGCATCTTTTTGAAATTTGTGTGAAATTGCCCAAACTGCTAATTTCTGACCACTTTATTGGGTAGTTAAAATCGGTAAATGGGCGGATTCTTGTACTCAGTCGATAGAACAAATGGAGTACTAGGGCAATAGCTATGGTTTTAGTCAACTGCAACATTGGAACTGGCCGAAAATAGGGCTCAAAGTAGGTGAAATCGGCCACTTCACGAGAGCATAATTCTGCAAGTTTTCCGTCAAATTTCATACTTTTGGTGTCATTATGATCGGAAAAATATTCTATCATTTCATAAGATTTTTTTTTTTTTTTTTTTTTTGAAAATTTTTCAACCCTGAGAACAAGTTTGGGAGAGGACCTCTTGACTCTCAAAGGGTTAAAGTCTTGAATATCTGATAGAGAAGGGAAAGGAAGGATTTTTTCAGACCAGAAAATTTCAGAGTAAAAAATATCAAAATGATTTATTTTAATGTATACAGTATATTCTGAGACTTCTAAATTATGGACCCATTTACAGCTGGGCAACTAACCCAGAAGTAATGGTGGCAGCACCAAATACAGTGGACCCCTGGTATTCGATGGCATCGGTATTCGATGCATTATAGTATTACAAAAAATTTTCCTCGGTATTTGATTGAAAACCCGGTATTCGATACGATTCATATGAGACCTGTCCACGTGTGGCCTGAACTGCCCCGTGTGTGCCAATGTTTACAAGCCAGCCAGTGTGCGCGCATCTAAGGATACATTCGGTACATTCCATATTATCACTGTTTGGTGCTTGTTTCTGCAAAATAAGTCACCATGGGCCCCAAGAAAGCTTCTAGTGCCAACCCTTCGAGAAAAAAGTCGCTAATGACTTATGAAATGAAGAAAGAGATAATTGCAAAGTACGAAAGTGAAGTGCGCGTGTTGGAGCTGGTTAGGTTGTATAATAAACCCCAATCAACCATCTCTACTATAGTGACCAGGAAAACGGCAATCAAGGAAGCTGTTCTTGCAAAAGGTGCAACTGTGATTACGAAACAGTGACTGCAAGTGTTAGAAAATGTTGAGAGATTGTTATTGGTGTGGATAAATGAAAAACAGATAGCAGGAGATAGCATCTCTCAAGCGATCATTTGTGGAAAGGCTAGGCAGTTGCATGACGATTTGGTAAAGAAATTGCCTGCAACTAGTGGTGATGCGAGTGAATTTAAGGCCAGCAAAGGTTGGTTTGAAAGATTTAAGAATCGTAGTGGCATACATAGTGTGATTAGGCATGGTGAGGCTGCCAGTTATGTTGTGTGACAAAAGTCCAGTGACTCTCAAGCTGGTCCTAGTGGCATTAAAAGAAGAGAAGTAACCCCAGAAAAGGACTTGCTACCTCAAGTCCTAATGGAAGGGGATTCCCCTTCTGAACACTAACACCTCTCCCCTCCTCCCATCCCATCAATCATCACCAGATCTTCATTAAAGGTAAGTGTCAATTATTTTATTGTTATTGTAATCATTCTTTTGCATTAAACTTAATATTTCATGTAGTAAAATTTTTTTTTTTCATACTTTTGGGTGTCTTGCACGGATTAATTTGATTTCCATTATTTCTTAGGAGGAAAATTGATTCAGTTTTCGATATTTTCGGTATTTGATGAGCTCTCAGGAACGGATTAATATCGAATACTGGGGGTCCACTGTATACCACTAATTGAGAAAGTATTAATCAAGTATTGCAATATGACATTTAGTGAAAGTGGGTGGGTGTGAGTTGGACCTGACTAGCTTGTGCTAGTAGGTCAGATGCACTGCTCCTAAGTGATGTGTCTGACCTCACTAGGTCAAGGCATTGGCTTAAGCCAGTGGGAGAATTGGAGCTGCCTTGCATAGGCCAGTAGGCCTGTTGCAGTGTTCCTTCTTTCCTATGTTCTTATGAAAAATTCTATCTGGGTATCAAGAGCCTACATTTATAGGGCTTCTATTCAATATTTAAGAAAATTCTTAGATAAATGAGAATTTGGGGCAGGTGGAGGAGGCATCTTAGTTTTGTATTAATCAATTATATACCAACTAAAAATTACCACCATTTTGTACAAAATTACTAAACTATGCACTTAGTCCCAATTCTGATTAACTACAGTACCAGCATTTCAAAATAGTTAGCCCTGCTATTGCTGGTTATCCTTTGAGGCCAGTGTGCAGGGCTAATATACAATTTAATGAGAAATCTCACTGTATATAGCTTAAACTTGACTGGAAAATCATATTTAAATGATTTTCTATTTGATCTTTATGGTAACCTAATGAGCCCTTAGGGGTCAAAATGAAATTTGTATTTGATGGAAACTAGTGTGGAGAACAAGGAGCAAGTAGAAATCAAAGAGGAACTCTGGTAGCCACTATACAACTTAATACTTAGAAAAACAATTTGAAGTTAAATGCATAATTACATAAGGAAATTATAACAAACTTTCGATACAGTACTAAGATTATGGCGATTTAAGAACAAGAAAAAATTTGTAATCTACAAGGCTGGGAACTGAGTAGGCAAAGGAGTTACTTAATCCTGTCCATGTTAGAAGCCCCAAAATTAAGTGCAGACTGTCAGCACCTAAAAAAGAAAAATCTGAAATGGTAGAGAATATTTTCTGTTGGCACAAATACAAAACTTGATGGAAACCTTTCAGAATTACACAGGCTTAAAGTTAGCAATCTGGGCACAATTAACATATTGGCAGTTGCCGACAACCTCAGCTATTTCACTAGTGGCCCTTCCATTGAGAATGAAAATGTTTATTTCCTTGCAATGCTTACAATGTGTGCTTTACATACATGTATTATAAAATATTAATTAAGGCTACTTTAGGCCTAAGGAGGCAGGTTCCATGTGGTAAACAGTTGTCAACAGTCGCCAGGACCCTACCATGCAGGTCAGCTCGTATTAATAATCTTAACCTGCCAGTGTACTTGACCTATATTTTAGTGATACCATCCACGTAGTGACATCATACAGAAACCTCTGGTGCTGCCATAGCTAATAACCAGTAACAAATCTGGTACTTACTGTGATGGAGTGACGTATACAGTTGTGGTAATACACTCTACTTATAGTTAGCAACAGTCGCCATATACACAATGGAAATCAAATATCCCTCTATTAATCTTCATCTTCAGAAGCCACGGCTGCTCCAACAAGCAAGTTATACTTTTTAGTATATCTAACTGAACACATTATTCTGTTAGATATTTTTCCAGTAGTCTTTTCACGAGTTAGTCCAAAAATCACCGACTGGATACGTCCAAAATAAGTGACCCCCTAATCTAGATTCGTCCGGATTCATCTAAGAAATAAGTGAACCAACGACAGGATTCAAACTGATTCGTTGAAAACAAGATATCCTCTGACTGGATTCTTAAGCTGATGGGGTTTTTACGCACCCTCATCAAACAGCCAAACAGTAACTACAACAAATAGATACAATACAAGTAGACAGATTTACTTTTAAAGGTGGTTATTAGTTAAAAAAAAAAAAAAAAAAAAAAAAAAAAAAAAAAAAAAAAAAAAAAAAAAAAAAAAAAAAAGGTACAGCGATTCACTAACCGGATTCGTCCAAGAAATAAGTGAACAAAGGACCGGATTCACACGGATTCGTTGGACTAAATAAAATAGATACAAGACAAATAGACAGATCTCCACTTTAAGGAAGCTATTAGTAGAATATACAGTAAAACGACAAATAAAATAATACGAAATCCTGTGTAGTCTGCAACCAAACAGGCTACTGCATGGATTACATTCAATTTGTGGGAAATGGACCCACACCCCTTGTGCAGGTATTCAGGAATCATCTACAAGATATTTAACCAGGAAAGTGCTTCTGGGTATGCCCAAATGAGACTAAACTGTGGAATAAAATCACAATTTCAATAAAAGATATCAAAGCGGCCTTCATAAAAAAAACAGAGCATTCTATAACAGTCTGGAAAATAAAAAATCTGGGCCAGATGATGCTATTGCCCCTGGTACAAATGCTGTCCTGGTAAACAGTAACTAAGAATAGAGAAAAACAAGAGTGGCCTGGAGGGGGACAGGAGCTCTAGTGGGGAAAAGTGTAGACAAGGACATGCAAAAACCAATGTTACAAACTAGCAATACCACAGGAGATAGTAAACAAGGCAATGTCCCAATAAATAGTGAAGATAAATTACCAGAAATAACTG